ACTTTGCTGGACAGAGGCGCCATGGGGGAAACCAAGTCGGACGGGCTGTGCTCACATTTGTGCTTTCCCGGACGGACCCGCCCACAATCTGGAAAAGATTCAGAATGTTCTGATTTCATGCTGTGCTCACACTTGTGCTTTCCCCGACGGACCCGCCCACAATCTGGGAAAGATTCAGAATGTTCTGATTTTTTTTTTTCTTTGTTTCTTTTCCTTTCCTTAGCTTCTGATCGGACAGTGCCTAGTAAGGAAAGGAAATTTTGGTGAAAAAGTCGGACCCCATCACTTTCCAAGGTCAGTGGGTGCAGCGCTTTGTTAGGGGTACTTTTTCAGATTATGTGTACGTGGCGCGTAGCCCGTGATGAACGGCGCAAAGACACTACATAAAATGGAGAGCTCAAGGACCCCTACCCCTACCTGGAAAGTTGCTGTGACCAAAGACACTACATAAAATGGAGAGCTCAAGGACCCCGACCCCTACCTGGAAAGTTGCTGTGAAAATGTGTCGGCCTTTTCTATGTCCACCCTTCCTCAGCAGGTACATCTGTGTCACCCACAAGCCAGGCCATACAGCGGACCACAGGAACGTCGGACTTCGCCCGGTCCGACCCGTTGCCTTGTTTTTAGGGACTTTCTTGTTTTTTTCTCTTTTTATGTAACGTGGGATCAGCGCCTTAGATTCACCAGCCAGTCTGGCAGATCGTTTCCGTGAAAAGCTGCACGGCCCTCATGGACAGCGAACTCACAATGCTACTATGGAGAATGTCAGCGTCGCCGCACGGGACACGAAACGGAAAACGAAACGACAGCATCTTCCTGCAGAAAATGGCCAGGTTCATCGGTTTGCTATAAATAGTGACGAGTGTATTTTGCCACCTTTCGTAGGCAGATGCCCTCTTTTCGTTTTCGTTTCGTGTGCCGTACGGCGAGACCCTGTATCCCACCGACCGTTCAGGGCGAAGCGAAGATGTTTTTTTTGTTTTGTTTTGAATTCTTGTTTCTTCTAGATCCAGATGACATTTATTTGTTTTCTTTTCTTGTTTCTTCTAGATCCAGATGACATGCCCACGTTCTTTTTTTTTGTCTTCTTGTTACTATGGCCGTTGCCACGACCGTAGTGGTGCCTGTGGGCGAGGTGCAGAAGGCATCCTCACACTCGCACTTTGGAGAATGTATTGAACTGCGTTCACCACCCTAGCGTTTTTGCTTCTTCTTCTTTTTTTTTTTTTTTTTTTTTTTGCCTACTGGTCCTCCCAGCCTCCGGCCGTCCTGCTAGTGGTACTGCCAGGTTCGGCAGGCTCGGCATACCGGTCGCCGGAGGGTCGGACTGGATAGCTGAGCGAGGTACTTGTTCCTTAAGGGATTCTGTGAAGAAATCGGCGCAATTGGAAAGTGTGAGGGGATGGAACTCACACCAGACGTGTATGAGCCCCACTAGCATCAATTTACTCTTCGGCTCCATGGTTTTCAACCACGTGCGGCGCGAGGTGACATCCGGCGACCGTTGATCCTTTTGTGTATCGTCGGCGCAGGGCGATAAGGACCTATTTCGTTAGGGTATCTGTCCGCCGGCCAATAGAAGAGTTTCCTTTTCATTTTTTTGCCCATTTAGCTAGCCACTTTGCATTGGCGCGAAGCTGCA